TCGAGGAGAATTAAAATCTCGAATGATTTTTGAAAACTTATTCCCGTAAAATACGTACTCGTCTTTGATAAATATCTCTGAAACGGGAGAAAAATTGACACGGACGACGAAACATCCGATGCTCGATAAATAAAAAAAAAAGAAAAAAGAAAAAAAAGAAATCATTGAAGAATAGCGGTGAAAATCTACGAAATTTCTCTCCTTCGGGGATTTCGCATTTCGGTAAACGGAGAACGCGAATATCAGAGGAGGAACGTGGTTTATTTCAATTTCCATTGCTATTTATGGGTCACAATGCCAAGGCCATGCCACGGCACACGGCAGAGGATCGGGTTGTTCGCTCGTGGTGTGGAAGCGGAGGATGAAACGGAATTACTATTCTAATTGGCAGCATGAATTAACCATACGTCGGCCGGGGCGGCGAAGAAGTTGAAGGCGGAGGCCGCGCGCGGATCACGTGGGTACGAAAGAAAATTGCAAACACGATTAACCGCAATTACGGTAATGACGACGCTAAAGATCAGATATAGGCGGAATGGCTGGCCGACACACGCACGCATGCGCTTGCGCATAGATACGTACACGCGCGTGCGCGTGTACGTGCACCGTGTCGGTTGGAAAAACACGGCGACCATAACGGGATCAAAATCGATGTATGTAAGTTCTAACAGCGACCTAAAAGTGGCGCATCGTGGCAAGGACCGCAGTCGGTGAGACTTGTAGGCGTCAGGTGATGAGCAAGATTTAATAGCTACTTTTCCATAATTTATTGCGTTCAAAACGTAATAATAATGATTGGAAATAATTGTAGCGGCAAATTGCCGAGATTATTATTACGAAAAGTAATATCTATTATAATAGCTAAGAATAAACGTTATTCCAGCATTTTAACGAATAATCGGTCAAAGTAACTTTGTTCGAAAGTTTTAATTACTCTTTCCAATAGTATATTCTTTCGCTTGATTATCCTTTTCGCGGTTGTGAAGTTAGAAAATTATTTCAACGAGCAATCATATCATTCGAAGCATCGAATAAGTGAAATATAATATAACGATATATATGAAGTTTATTCGAAATTTTTCGAATCCGATTTTAACGAGGATTTTGTAAAAATCATCGATAGATCGGTCGATAAGTTAGATTAGTACTAATTTCTATCGTGGAAGAAATAAATACGCGATTCTTGTTACAAGTCCTTGATCTTTATTTACCGTGGCATTTACGCGACAATTTACATACTAATTCTACGATAAATTTCGTTTATTACGATTCGAAAAAAAAATTGATATTATGAAAATTATATGTAAAACGCTTCGTTCCAAGATCCCTACCATATCAAATCTTCCTATCCCATACCAAACTTGTTCCGAGAGATAATCTCTATTTAGGAATTCGTGTCGATCGGTTACAATTTGATACAAGATCTTGGCGATTTAAAATCGATGTACAACGCCTATATATTCCCCGTTTCTACGCTCTTCGACTATTTTCGAGAAATATATATCTCGAAGACACGTGATAAAAGAAGCGAGGAGCTAATGAAGTGGAGACGAGGCAGGCCCATTCCGTGATCCTCTCCATGCTACTCGTACGCCAGCGACTCGTAACCATAATCACGTATGGATTTTTCGCACGGAATGTAACAACTTCCAATTCATTTGCACGATTTTTACGCGGCCGGGAAGCGGTATTTCCATCCAATCCGGTTGACGAGCGCCTTTCCCCTTTCTTTCTATCTCATCCGCGAGACATATTTACTCGTTTCGTTGGAAGGAGATCCATAATTACCCCGGCTCCGTCCAAGATAGGATATTGCACGCGTAATTTATTCACCGTGCTTTTAACGACTCGAAACCCGGACCCGATCCGACGGTTAAAGCGTCCAGCCGTTTTCCGTTAAATGTTCCGTCCTAGATGTCTCTGAATTCGCCTCGATCGAATTCAATTTTCACCAACCGGCTCAACGGTCTCTGTCCCCGGCCGATTAGGATATCTTAACGACGTTTATGCGTAATTAAGCGGAGGAATCGAGCGTGTTCGCTCGAAAATCGACCACTTGGAATTTCGAGATCGCTCGTCACCTGTAATCAAACATGATAAGAAATTGACGGGGAAATTAATGTTTCTCTCTTTTTTCTTTCTCTCTTTACGTTTAATCCTAGCGAGAAGGGAGAAAATGGAGTATCGCGCGACGAAGAATTCGAAGATTAATCGCATCTCTCTTGCGAAATTAAAAATTTACAAACTCTTTAAACTTTATCACTTATATACAATACTAACCATTGAGCTAAGATTTAAGCACATCTCGCACGATAGACCCGAGAGATATCGAAAAAAAGAAAGAAAAACTTCTCGGTGCAAATTGTCGTCGCGCTTGGATTCTAATTAAACGGGGAACCACGTTGATCGTTTCGAAAAGGTTGCTCGTGGAGGAGTTCGTTGGCCAGCGATGGAGGAACGTAGTAATACGATATAATATACCGTTCGGTGTGTTTACACGCAGGCACGAAAATTGTAGGGAAAATGATGGTGTATGTTCGGTCGAGGGCAGGTCGTGTCACAGAGGACGTCAGCGTCCACGCCTCCCTAACGATCGAAATTCATTTCCATAATTATCTCACGATCCGGCCTCGCGGTTCATCGTCTCGTCGTCGTCGTCGTCGCTGCACCGCAGGGAAAACGTTCGACCTGATTCATAACCGGAGACACGGTTGTCCCGTGCGAACCCGGGACGGAAGTTCGAGGTTAAATTCCACGTAGATTCGCGGCCATCGTGCAATAAGTGGAAGGGGTTGAAATGGATTCGTTATTACGTAATTAATACGATTCCAGGTGGATTACCACTCGATTCCTACTCTCCTTATTTCCTTTTTTTGTCTTCTTTATTTCCCTGGATTCTATTTTATATATACATATATATAGAGTGATACTTGGAGAATCGTCGGTCCTTAAATTTCATCCACTTATTTCGTCTCGAACGCTTTATACACACCGGATTGTAAATTCTTCGATCGGTAATAAAGCGCGGGGAATGCGCGTGGATCGATGCAAAACAAATAAAGGGCGTTAAAAGCAAGCGAGAAAGGATCGGTATAAAGGGCGAGAAAGGGAGGTTGCGGGCAATTAAAGTATCTGAGGAGGGAGGGAAGGAAAAAAAAAAAATAGGATTCTCATTAAGGAAGCCGGTTTCGACCAAGACCTCGGTAGAATTTCGCTACGTAGTCTGATATATTCGCAAAACGTGTCTTACATCGCAACGCTTTTCCACCTTGTCCACCGTGTTTCTCGTTTTAATTGTGCGCGAGAGGAGGCGAGGGAGGGAGGGGATTCCGAACTCTCCTGGAATCCGCTGGCGTTCATTCGTTATTCCCTTGGCGGAAAAACAAGGAGGATTTACGCGAACACCCGCGCGGTATGGTGCACCTTGTGTGCGTGATCAATGTCTCACGTACATTTACATATCCGCCAACCCTCATGATTGCAAATGTACTGTTTAGCGTGTTGCTTTGCCGCGTATGGATCCTTCTTCCTTTTTTTTCCCTTTATCTCTTTTTCCTTTTTTTCCTCCTCCTCCCCCTCCCCTTTCTTTCTACCGTCTGACCGCGCGCTCCTCCACTCCTCCGCTATTCAGAAACGTGGCACCGCATGCGAGTCCGTATCATCAGGCGTAATGTCGGTTTTTCATAACGGGGCCGGTAACACGGCTTTAAATCCTTGCCTCTTCGATCCATGGTCATGCGCATTAAATTCACCGAGGACGCGGGATTACTTATAATTAAACCTGCCGGGTAACGCGCGCGTCCTCTCGTCGACTCGTTCGTATATGCGTGTCTAAAGATCCTCGAAAGCGACATCCGATTTTTTTTTCTCTCTCTTTCTCTCTCTTTCAACTCTTGGTTGGACTGGTTGTTTGCAGTATGTTACGCGTAAGATGCGGTAACGTACTCGCGTTACTTGTACATACTCCCCCGTGTGCTCGTTACATCTTCAACGACAAATTAACGCGGAGGGTGATAGATGTAGGAAGATTCTTTTTGTTTATTACTTCGAAGAAGATCGATTGATATGGATAAAGTGCAAAATAATTCTTGATGAAATACGCTTTTTTAAATATATAATATTCGCATCGTATAATTCCCTGGTTTACGATTCGCCGAACGATCGATAGAGGGGGCCGGTGTGAACATCGATCACCGCGCCACGCATTTTACGTACGTATCGAAAATTAGTTCGAATCGAAAAGTCGAGCGCGGTTACTGCGATTATCGCTCGCGGCTGTCGCGATTTTATTAGTGAACGCGTGTGCAAAACGTGAAACCAGTTTCTCTCCATAGGAAAGAAAGGCCCGATACCGATACGCGGCAATATTTCTACAAGGTAATACACTTAGCGTAACGTGAAACGAAGTAGAAAAAAGTAGGGTTAATGCAATAATCCCGCAATTAACGTGACTTTTCGTCGTATTGCCCTCGGTATTACATTTCTATCCATCCTCCGGCGTATCTCTTTCTTCGAGCAATGCTATCGATAATAGCGATCTAAACCTACCGTTTTCACAGAAGCAAACGTACGATCGAAGAAATGTTTGTAACGATTAACGTTATTCTTGCCAAAAATTGCAACGTTATCGCTTCTCGAATTCCATGGTGTGCGCATGCACACCATCAAACTGCGCACATCGAAATGCGCACGTTCCGCGAGGCGGTATCAACGCGCGAACGCGGCCATAATGCACGCTCACGTAAGGTACAGCCGAGTTCTTCATTATCGTCAGGGGCCTAAATTGCGTGGGCGTACCTATACCTTCGTACACGTTACTTACCTTGATGTACTATACCTAGTACCTTGTACGCACACACTGTTACGATCGCGTAGGGACGCGCGTTCGTTGAATACGCGTACAAATCCGTAGCCACAGGTTCGAGTGGCGAACGGTGCCGAAGTTGGTCGAAGCCGGCCGAACGCCGCGAAGCCGGTTGTCGCGCTCCTCGCCAGATGCGATGTCGAGTCAGTATCGCGTCAGTCCTCCAGCGGAATTGGTCAGTGATCTGTGTCAGAGCAGGGCCAGTCGTCACTCTCCTTTTCTCTCCGCCGGTTATTTCGTCTTTTTTCGACATTTTTCCGTCCGGCGCACATTGAAATACGAAACGGTGGTTTCACGTGATTTTCTCGTATTTGTCGCCTCGGCTCGCGAACGCATCCCCTTTTCGTGGTCTCGGGAACATACGCCCGGTATCTACGTATACTTGTAGAAGTTAGATACGTATAGTACACATACAGTAATACAGTGCCATAGTGGAGTTACCAGTGGGGAAAACAAAAATTAGTTTGCAAGCGGACGTGCCTCACGGCGACCGTCGTTCACCACGTTCTGGATCGGAGGCAGTGGGAGCAGGTGAGTGGAAATTTAAGTTGGATATCCTTTTCGTAGCGACGTGTCCAGTGGACCTTATGTCCCGGAGGGCCAGGTTGCTTCATCGGGTTTCTTGGAATTTTTGGCGAATTAATAGGGTAACGGAACTCTCCATGTTCGATCGAGAAAACGGTTGATACTTGTCCGAGGCTGAGTGATTGTACGTCCTGAAAACCGATCGAGTGTTTTTACCACTCGATCTATTAAAGATCGTCGTACGGTAGATAGATTCGTAATTACACGGTTATACTGATATTAGTTCGTAAAAGAATTAAACCGATATCGGAACGGTTAAAGTTTATTTATTTCATGGTCGAACAAATGGCGTCCCATTTCTGGAGACCAAGGTTATCATTCGCAATATAGACCATAGTTAAGCAACACAATATGATTCGTACGATTATCGCTACCACAGTTTCCACGTTTCACGATTAGGATCGTTCCGTTGCCCGAAGAGAGGCACACGCTCCATTGTTTACAATGTCGAATCGTCGTTAAAAAAAAAACTTTCTTCGCAATCGTTGTGTTCGTCGTCTTCCACGAAACGTGCGGCAACCTTTTCGTTCATCGTGATTCATGTACATTTCAAAGCCGACCCCTTCGAGTTCCCCTTCTGAGCTGATGGGCTCCGAAACATTCTATGCGCTCCATTTGTTAGCGTCATCTTAAAAAAATGGCGGTCAAAGGGGCAGAGACTTCTCCCACAAGATGATCGTAAATCGAGACTGGTAAGTCGTTTTTCTCTTCTTCGTCTCTCGTCTTTTTGCCCTTTTTCTCGCTGATCCCTTACCGTTAGTGGTTCGTCCTACGAACGGAGGAGCGTGTTGATCGCCGTCGAAATTTATACCCTTGAATGCCTGCATTCTAGAGTACCTGTATTCTCGAATATCCGTGTTCTCTGGTACCTTGATTCGCGAGTACATAAATTCTTGGGTAGCCGAGTTTGCGAACAGTACTTAAGTTTTAGAACACTAGTCTACGAGTTTTTGAAAATTTTTTGAAAATATCCAATACATATTTGATTCGTCGAATCCCTTATTTTTCGAGATATTTTGAATTCTTATTTCTCTTTATATCACCACGCTCGAGCAGTTTTTATTATTTGTATTACTTGTATTGCTTTTTTATGCTTTTTTAATATCTCTCGAAGATATTCAAATATTTAAGTATCCAGTTTCCAAGATTTAATAGAAGAAAGTGGCTATATTCGCATGATCGAACGAGACGTATAATTTTGCTGTCTCATTATATTAACACGTTACAACTCTGTTGAATAATGAATCGTCTCTTGCACCGATCAAAGATGAACCTAATTATTATAGTAATATATCGCGTCAAGCCATATTGTTCGATCCGAGCAGCTGTTACAAACTCGACGTGTTATTCGCATTTTTCTTTCTCGATCCACGCCCGATATTAGAATATCGCAATTACACGTTACTATTATTAACTGTTAATACTCGGACGAACTGGTTTGAAAATCCGGATCCTCGTAACGTTGCCTCCCTTGCGGTGCACCGCTCGAAGCGTGTCTCCGCTACAGAATCACGTAACGTATTCAAAATGCTATCTAACATAATATCTACATCCCTATTTTCATATAAACTACACCTTCTCGATTTCGTATCCCTTTGAGCCAAATTCGCGGACAATTTCACGCAACTGTTTCTAACCTTCTCTCTCGGGAAGAAACGGACAAAAAGCATTACATTACTTTTTTCATCAATCATCGTACGCATATTTGTAAATTTCGTTCGAAAAAAATAATCTTTCGGAATCCTTTCCTTTTTTCCTTTTTAAATAAGAGGAAAGTAATAACTCAATCCAAACTATCCGCGTTGTTCGAAGGCTATACCTGCCTTTTTTTTTTTTTTTTTAGCTTTGCAGAATTCTTTTCTTTTTCTAGATAGCAATAAAAAGAAAAAAGAAAAAAGTAATAACCCACGTATGACTCAATTGGAATCATTTATTGCTCGAAGGCTAAACGTATCATTTTTTTTCTTTTTTCCTTACCTTCCAGAATGCATTCGTTTCTTCTCTCCTTTTCTCTTCCATTTCGAAACACTTCTTTCTTTCCA